GCAAATCAGCTTAATTAGCTTGAGCTCTTTGCTTTCTTGATTCTAATTAAACTCATGTAGTGCCGACAGTTGGTGTGTGTATTCACTGTTTAAGCTTGTTAGTGCTGTTTGCAAAGACAAGAATCAATATCAATATATTTTTTGAACACCTAATGTTAGATATTAAAAGTGGACGTGTCCCACACACAACCAGAAAATACATTACCATTCAAAAGTTTGGTTTTGAACCTTCTATTGATCAAAGAATCCTAAAATTATGAACATAAAGCAGCATAACTGTTTTCAACATTGATGTTTGTTGAGCAGCACATCCTCATATTAGAGTGATTTCTGACGGATCATGTGACACTGAAGACTGGAGTAATAATGCTGAAAATTCAGCTTTGAATCAAAGCAACAAATTACATTTGACCATATATTTACATAGAAAACAGTTATTTTAGATTATAATAATATTTCAAAATATTACTGTTTTTATTGCATTTTTGGTCATATAAATGCAGGCTTGGTGTGCAAAGTAAATGTGTGTTGTAAGTGTACCTCTTTGGAATTGAGGGGCAGATATTATAAGTTGATCTTCTTTCTGCTCCTTTTCATTTCTTTTTTTCAAAAGAATGAAATAAAATATCTTAAAAATAAAATATAAAAATAAAAATCTTAGTGACCCCAAACTATATATCCTGACATTTTTCAGCTTTATGACCTGAATATTGATGTATACGCTCAGAGACAGATCTTCAATTAATCATTAATTCATTCCAATGGACAGTTTTGAAATGAATCTCAGAATTGAATCCAACTCTAATAAAGTTTCTTCTATTGACGTTTAAATTACAGGCACTGAAACTCATTCTTAAGCCGTAAACAAACTCCACACAAAGGCAGATGGAAATGTTTAGTCAATACTCTGCAAGCGCACAAACCTGCTGAACATATTTAACATGCATTATTGCATTACTGTAGTGGTCCTCAAGGGGGAGATGCAAAGCAGATGTGCTATTATTAAAGCAACTAGCTATAACTGTTAGTGTTGACCGGTAATAAATGTTGACAGCTTAATTAACTGTAACTAATTGGCTAGATACTCTCCGAATGTTTGCAGAAATGACAGCTGAATTAACGCTAATGTCCACCCTTGTGGCAATGCTGAGAATACAACTCTTATATTACATGATGCATCATTGCTTTGCATTGTGAACTATTTCCGAATGCATCAACGCAAGAAATCAAGCATTGCGTTAATCATGTGACAAGGAATAAATCATGAAACTGATCTAATCACAATGTCTTTACGAAGCTTAAGGCCAAATAAAACATCACATTTAAATCATATTCACAAAGTTGCTCATTTTTATACCACATTACAAAGATATTGGGAATCGCCTAGCTTTTGCACACACTCAAAAATCAAGATCTTTGTTGTGTGGCTCTTACGTTCTCGTCTGTAAGATTATAATTCATATGTGAATAAAAAAAAAATATCATACTGCACATTGTGCCACATATTTGAGATTTCTGCGATGCAGAAGCAGCAGAGCCGTCGTGGAATGACATGAGCGAGATTTGTGACTCATTCTAATATGTGAGCGGTTAAAATGGGGTCTTTGTTTTCTGCGAAAGAGAGAGAGAGAGAGAGAGTTCAGTATGGTCTTAATGAGCTGTCCAGTAAATGGATCGGTTGCCTGGACACAAATGAAGTTCGGTCTCAGAAATTAAACGGAAGGATTATTCACTGAGGTTGAGGATCCCAGACAGACATGACTAAAGCACCATTCACTCCAGAACACTTAAAGGGACAGATCACAACAACAACAAAAAACTATTCAGTCATCATTTATTCCCCATAACACCATTCCAAACTTTATGCTGTCGGGATCCATAAAGGACAACAATATATAGACCAATAATTAAAATATAGTGTGATTGGAAAGCACTTCCTGTGTGAACGGCCACTAAAAGCGTAGCTCTAGTACCACAGTCCATTATGACATCACTTTTGTAGACTTTTATTCTCATTTTTAACCAATGAACGTCCATTACCTTCCTAGACATTTGTGATTACTGGGTACAGACTTTAAATTTCGATCCATTAATGAATCACTTAAGCTGATTTATGAACTGGTTCAGTCAACTGAGAAATAAAAACAACAACTCAAAAGAATAGTTGTTCATAGTAGGGATGCGAATTAATCATTAGTTTACCAAATTAACGATTAACTGAAAAGCGCCTATTTTCCCGAGAATGTAAATTCCTCACAGTATCAATTGAACATAAAAATTGCTTATATACTGAATAAAAATGCATGTTATATTGCTCAATTGATGTTTTATTGGTGCAGTTGGGATACGTCACAGAGTGATGGCATTTAACAAAATAAATTATGCACAGAAAATTAAAATACATAAAAAAAATGATCGTGCACTGGCTCACCTGTTGCAGGTGAAACATTAAGAAATATAAAATACATTTTAAATAAACATCTATATGGGTAGGCTTATCCTACCTACACTATATAATAATCTATCTGGTAAACTACTTGCATAAAAAACTTGAAACATTAGCCGACAATTAATTTAATTTAATGGAGTAAATTCTTATAAATTCGATAATCGATTAACTGTTTGCATCCCTAGTTCATAGATTTAGTTTATCGCTCAGTTTATGGCCAGCAATATTGGTATGTTTAAGGACATTATGAAATTAAGATAACGTCTGTATACTATGTTATGATTGTCCTGTACAATAAATACAATGGTTGCTGAGTCTGAAGTCTGAACACTTTACCTCAGAGCGCACGTTAACTGAATGAATTGAGAATCTCACCTTAAAATCCCATAACATCAGCAATTTCCATCCACACAGCTGATTTCTGGAAATTATTGTAAATCTAAATGTATCTTGCAGCACAGGGTGAATTTAGTATATACAATAATGATGATATGAGACAAACATAATGTAAATTTAATATAAAACTATGTAAATGGCACTGCCGGTGTGTGTACATAATAATGAAAATAAATAATGAAAACAATATGTTCGAAATTTAAAGACGTAGCGCTTCTCTTCTCATTCGTGCCACCCCCTTAAGATTATTTGTTAACTTGTTCAACCATTTGAAAAGAATCAATTTGAAAGAATAAATCGGATATTAATATGATTTGTGAGCAATAGCTGAAACACACACACACACACACATATATATATATATATACAATGTAAAAAATATTGTTGGTTTAACTTAAAAAATTAAGTTACCTGGTTGCCTTAAAATTTTTAAGTTGATTGAAATGGAAAAAGTAAGTTACTACAATGAAGGAGATTAATTTAATCATCAGAAACTCAAAATAATACGTTATCTGAACTAAATAAATTATTTTAATAAATTATTGATTTGATGAAAGAAAAAATGTTGTGATAACAAATCTTGAAAATATATTTTTTACAGTGTATATATATATATATATGTGTGTGTGTGTGTGTGTGTGTGTTAGGACTGTAACCGGTTAACCGGCACAGTATTATATAATAAAAAAATAAAAAATAATAACCATATAAAAAAAAAAAAAATTCCGAAAGATGGTTTCGAATGCCTGAATTCTCCTGCCGATAAAACATAAAAATATTCTGTCAATGTTTACTGCAGCGCTGAATCGATGCGGAGTACCATTGGAAACGATCTAATGATTTATTCACTGGCTGTGGTTCTTGACTCACTCAAGAAGTTATGTTGTATTTAAGGCTTAAATCAATATGACAACATGTAGTAAAAGATACATATTCAGAGGGCAGATTTGATGGTAATAAATAAAGAATTAAATAAAACTCTACTGCAAAAGCATTTACAATGATTTGTTTTGAATAAAATAATTGTTAATTGATTCATTAAAGTATTAGAATCATAAAATCAAACCAAAGATCCTTGATTCTCATCTGAATATGTGCGTTTGTGTGAGTGTGTGTGTGGAGGGTAACAACACATAGGCAGCTGTGAAAGTAGTGAGGTTACAGATCTATCAAACGCTCAGTAAAGATTAATGCTTTATTCGCTGAGGCCAAACAGGCTGTGAAATGAGTAAAAGCAAGCAGGTGTACAAAATGAAGATTTGAACACACACACACACACACACACTCGACTGCCTAAAGAAAACATACTCTAACCTTGACAACTGCACATGCTTTATGATGCCAGCCGTTTTTTTATTGTCGACTCGCTCAGTTTAATGACTGCCGTCTTTTTATGAGAAGTGTTTCTGCATCTTATCTCGCACAACATACACACACATCAAAATACACCAAAACCAAACACACACATTCATCTCTCTCACCAACACCTGCTTCTGCAGACATCAGCGTTCATCGCCAGCATGATCTACAAGCCTCATGATCATCCAAACACATAAAACCAAGACAAATCTCTAAAACTAGAATCATTAAACATAAGAAAAATTGTTTCACTAAGGAAAAAAAAAATAGTATAATACTTCCTATAATAAACAAGCTTTTAAAAAATATGTAGTATTTGTATGTATTACAGTGCTGCGAAATGAATGGGGCAAAAAATCTGAATTTAGGTCGAACCAGAAGGTATCGCCCTAAAAATAATGTCCCAATGCAAAATTTAATGTTCAAAAATGTCTTATTTCGTTCTCTTGATTTCAGTGTGAAATGCAACATGTTTTCGCGAGATTCACCCAACTGACAGAGAAGTGGGAAAGATCACATGATCAGTCAGACCAGCCTGAGGAATGTGGATCTGATGCTAAAGACAGAAGCCAGCCAACAACACACACTCTCTCTCAAACACACACACAACACACAACAGCTGCCCGACATATCAGCTTCCTCGAGGAGCAACAGGAGAAAGAATGTGTCCTGATAATGTGCTCTCTCACAGTCTTCGTCTTCCCTTAAGTCTCAGTCATGCGTCAGTCATCACCTCAGGAATCCCAGGACGACCCTGATGGTAAACACAATCAGCTGTTGTTTTGATCCGTCTTACCTGCGACTGAGTTGGGCCGAGGCATCATCAGACTGGACGAGCTTTGTGTGGGATAGTGGACGGGTCCCTCAGAAGTCTTCTTAGCCACGGA